CTGTCAACGCTCTCTGGTTTCATTTAAAAGAGTCGATCATCAGATATTGTCCAAGATTAACCTTCAGGGTGGATATAGCTCGCTAGCAGCCTTGCACTGATGACCTAGTTGATGTCATCATTTACCCAGAATGCTTTGCATGTAAATAAAATGGCCCCGACCGTGTAATATATTTTTAAACTTTTAGTTTAAAAATGATAAAAACTGAACATCCTACAGTATTTTTACGGTCTTTATTTTACATTTAAAGTATATGTTTATCATATAAAGTCTAAAGTTACAACTAATCAGGGATCCCTTTAAAGTGATTTTCAATTCTTGTCAGTACTATGACAAAAAAGCGTCATTGTCTGTCCCAGTGTAAGCATCCTTGTATTTATGTATTTAATGGTTAACCTCTTGAGAACCAGCATCCTGATATTGCCAAAGGACCCGGCCCACCTACACCAGATAGGCCGGGTCCTTTGAAGTACGCTGCTCCTGAATTTGGGCACAGTCATAGATCATAACTGTACTTTGCTTTCTGTCTCCTGGCATGCATTGCTAATCCTCATAGAAATAAATTAGATCAAGTAATGTTAAGATTAGTCACTGTTTCAGTTGTTCAAAGTCTTGATGTTCAGTCATTTTGAGAGTCCCTGAAAGCAGAACAAACATCGTTGCTTTTAGTGAGTGAAATGTGCCGCTCAACACGTTTTACAAACTTGATGTGGCGTTCTGTGTTCGTCTCTGCAGTGCTTCTTCGGGGGGAGGAGGTGGTAGGGGTGCACCTCAGCACTATCCCAAGACTGTCGGCAACAGGTTTGTTCATTGCCCTTAACATTAAAGTAAACATTTTAAATTGGCATCGATACTATTCATAATGGTTACTTCACTGCAGTACAAAACAGCTGGACAGCTTTGATTAAAAGTACAGGATTCCAGGAAGCTTTGATTTGTATTCCCAGAAGTCCTGTAATAGAATTACAGATGGCTGCAGATAAACATCCAGGCTTTTCTTTCTTTCTTTTACCAAAAGGAATATGTAGGAAGGAAAAAAAGAAAGCTTGTGCAAACAATGTTTTGACTCGATGACTAATACTTACATAAAGTACATGTACAGATGTTGGGATCAGTTTTAAAGAGAGTGGACCTGTTGGCGGTACTGGGTTTAGTGATAAGGGTGTGTGTGTGTGTGTGTTACATGCCTCATTGTTGTCAGAATGTATGTGACTCCGTCTTTTTGCTCATGTCTGCAGCGAGTTCCTGGGGAAAACCCCAGGGCAAAGCGTTCAGAGATGGGTTCCTTCACGAAGCACTAGACGAGATGCCAACTCCAGCAACGAAAAAGAGCGACATGACGCAATCTTCAGGAAAGTGAGAGGGTAAGCCTCTGATTCAGAAAAGTTATACAAGAATCTTGATCTGGTGCAGATTTGTTTTAAATTTATGGGTTTTTATGTGTAATACTTAGAAGCTGTAACAATCAAATTACAGTTAAATGTTTGAGTATTTTCTGACAAACTTCTGAGAAAGCCATTTTAAACCATGTGTGAGTGAAGTGAGGTTCCTGCTACTTTTTGGTTGATACTAAACAAAAATAAATGGTTCATTAAGATGGTAATGCTTCGCTAAAGGCACCTTAGCCTGGTCTCCTGCTGTATCAGGTGATGTTTGGAAATTAAAAATCAAAGAGATGAGTTTCCTTCTGGAGTCTTCACTTGCAACAGACGACTAAAAATTTGACCTCGGCTGATAAATGTTGTAAACTACAAAGTATTTGATTTACAACAAATAACTGAACTCAGATTGTTCTCCCAGGATCCAAGCTGTTTATCCTGGTGGTAATACGACTAATCCTTTCACCGTATGTTTTTGCTCAGTTATTCTGACCCATGCTACTTCACCCCTCCCCTCTTGTTTGTGTTCATGCAGCATACTCAACAAACTCACACCTGACAAGTTTGACAAGCTATGCCTTGAGCTCCTGAATGTGGGCGTAGATTCAAAACTCGTCCTTAAAGGAATCATCTTGCTGGTAAGTGAAGATGTTTTTTTCGGGCTCTGCTAAATGAAGAGATATGCATTCCTACTTGGCAGGGAGCTCTCGCTGACTCATTCCCACTCATTTTAGTGATTCTGTGGTTCCGCTCTGGTTTGTTTCAGATTGTGGACAAAGCCCTAGAAGAGCCGAAGTATAGCTCGCTCTATGCTCAGCTATGTCTGCGCTTGGCAGAGGACGCACCAAACTTTGATGGCCCTTCATCTGAGATCCAAACATCCCAAAAGCAGAGCACAGTAAATATTTCAACTATGACCACTTTTCACGTTGTTTCTATATGCACGTGGTAGGGCTGCACGGTATATGCAGTAGACGGTAGAAACGGTATGAAGTTGGCCTACGGTAGAAATTTACCCTCTACCGTCCTATCGTTATTACGTCATCGCACCTGTGTCAGCATGGCTGCGAGTGCAGAGGCAACTGAGCAGGAGTTAGAAATATAATGAAGAAATTCAAGCGTTTTAAAACACGCATAGACAGAATAATAATCCTCAAAATTTCCTCCAAGTTACGTCGTGTCGCGGGATCATTTCCTCCCTCTCCTCTCTTCTCCTCTCGCTGCACATCGTGCAGAGCAAAGCTTTAACAACCGCAGTTTTTCACACCCAGTTGTCAGAGAAAAAACTTGTTTTTTTAAGTATTGTGACCCACAGAGATGATTATAAAAAAGACGTGGACGTTCCTTCAGTCATAAATCCATCTTGCTAATGTAAAGTCGGCTTCTGCTCTGATGATGAAGATGAGAGCGCAGCTGATAAGTTCAGCAGGTGGATGCTCATTGTTTGGCAGGCAGATATTAAAGCAAAAATGCTGGGTTTGATCAAGATTACGGTTTAGGGCTGCCACAATTAATTGACGACTAATCGATTATTAAAATAATTGTTTGTGGCAGCCCTATTACAGTTCTCTGCAAAAAATTACTCTAAAAATTACATTAGCTTTAATTTTTATGATAGTTTTCTACCGTGATATACACCGTGAACGGATTCAGTTTATGCCGTGATATGAATTTAAGGTCATACCGCCCAGCCCTAGCAAGTGGCGTACTTTTCCACAGTTATCTTTCATGGTGACACGTAACGTGGATGTTTTTATTTGTTTTTGTAGACCTTCAGGAGACTGCTGATTTCCAAGCTTCAAGATGAATTTGAAAACCGCGCCAGAAATGTTGAAAGTAAGTCGCTATGATTTTCCAGTTCAGTGACAGAAACTGCTTGAGTTTTCAGTCTTCACAGATTATAAGATAAAACTATGCTGCAGTTCTCTAGATGCAGCTTAAAAAATAAAAACTCGGATCGTGTAGTTATAATTAGCTGTCGTACAACATTTATAAACCATGTGTAATAGCAATGATTGTAGTAAAATCAAATAGAGCTCAGCACAAACACTAGTTTGAATTTTATGAACGTACAGGAAAGCACAAATTAAATGAAATCCACATTTTCAGGCAGATCTTAAAGTTTGAAATAATTGTTTCTTTGTAAAGCCATAATTTATTTCTTGTTGTAGCTTCTTGAAATATTTTATGTCTGACAGGACTCTTGATGCCATTTTAAAACAATTTTGATCTCCCAAGTTTTGTTATTCGAATGTTATGCGAAAGTTTTTTTCTTTAATAAAGGTTTATTAAACTTTTCAGTCAAGTTAGCTTTAAATTGTTTGTGTAGAAATATTATCTGCAAGTACAAATAACTTTAGTGTACCCAGGAGATGCATCCAGTAAGAATTTTCTAATATTTTCAATAAAATACTTGTGTTAAAGAGGCAGAAGTTTAAATATTTAAATATTAGTACTCTTGTGTTGCCTGTACACACACAGGTTTCCTCCAGGTACTCCAGTTTCCTCCCACAGATCAAAAACATGCATGTTAGGTAAATAGATAACTAAATTATCAATAGACCTTTATTTTTTATGATTGTGTTGGTCAATCCTTAGGAGAGCCCTTTTATTAAAAAGAGTTTTAATAGTTTTATTGCCTCTAATCTGTAATATAACACCGTTTGACATGATACACTAAAAAACAACAGCAGAGTTTACCTAGAAAATAATAAACTTTAAACATCAGTGTGTTCAGCTTGACTCGAGGTGAAAAATAAAAGCTGCTGTCGTTAAGAAAAGACAGAAAAGATGACAACTTTAAAAACAGATGAATTGTTTTCTAACCAGAAATTCACACCTTTATTTTGTTATAATTCTTGTTGCCACCTGGTTTCTAATCTAATGTTCCTCTTTTTTTTGTCCTCAGTCTATGACAAACATGACAACCCTCTTACTTCTGAGGAGGAGGAGCAGCGTGCTATTGCCAAGATCAAGATGCTTGGCAACATTAAATTCATCGGGGAACTTGGCAAACTTGATCTTATCCATGAATCTATCCTTCATAAGTGCATCAAAACAGTACGTTCACGTTTGATTGTGTGATTTGTGTGGCCTCACACAGGTCAAAGCTCAGTTTCTCCAATAATTCTGAGATAAATTCCAACTCAAATGAAGCACTTCATGTAATTTATTGTTTTTATGAACTAAACTTTTCTGAAAAATGCTGCTGGATGAACTGTCAATTTAAAATGACCTACTGGTAAACTCCCAGTGCACCCACCTGCCTTTTGTCTCTGTTTTATGAAGCTTCTGGAAAAGAAGAAGAGAGTCCAGCTCAAAGATATGGGGGAGGATCTGGAATGCCTCTGTCAGATAATGAGAACAGTGGGGCCGAGACTCGACCATGAGAAAGCCAAGGTCAGAGTTGACGATCAGGGATTGTTTTGATTTAAAACAATTTCTTTGTAACCCTTAAAACTTATGACAATCTATTACTTAACATTCATTGGTCAACTTGTTGGCAAAAAAAACTATCAGAGTTTTAAAGACTTTTTTTGTTTTATTTTTTCCATTCTTGCCAGACACTTATTTAAGTTTCTGTATTGAGCAGCCGTATCAGTGGGAGTGCTGTCTTAGCTCAGCACCTGGACTAAACTACTTCCCATTGCACTTTCTCACTTCCCCTTTCCTCTTCTTGTCCTCTCTCTAGTCTTTAATGAATCAGTACTTTGGCCGTATGCGATCCTTAATGAACAACAAGGAGTTGCCTGCTAGGATCCGCTTCCTACTGCAAGACACAGTGGAACTGCGAGAAAACAACTGGGTCCCCCGCAAGGCCTTCATCGACAACGGACCAAAGACGATTAACCAAATCCGTCAGGATGCAGTGAAGGTGAGTCAGCAGCTAGGTATTCTGCTGATTTGAATCCAAAAAAAAAAAGGAAACTAAAGTACTAATTTTAACGTCTTAAACTTTAATACTAAATATTTTTTGGGGAAAAAATAAATCTGACGTTTTGTTTGTTAGGATTTGGGTGTTTTCATCCCAGCACCGATGTCTCAGGGGTTGAGGATGGACTTCTTCCTGGAGAGCCCCTTCATGCCCAACAGAATGAAGCTGGACAGGGAGACTCTCGGGGGATTGGCTGACATGTTTGGACAGATGCCAGGTACATGTTTTTGAAATCCCTGAACGTATCCACCGGTGGTTCTGCGTGGACTCTGAACCCACATCACTTATGCTCCTTTCTTCTTCAGGCAGTGGGATTGGAACCGGCCCAGGCGTTATTCAGGACAGGTACTCGCCCACTATGGGACGCCATCGCACCAACCCGCTCTTCAACGGCCACAGCGGCCACATTGCGCCTATCCCGCAGTCACAGTTTGACATTGGGCCCAAGTCCTTTGTCAAGTCCAACCAGGTAATCCAGCTCAAACTGGGTGTGAACATTAATCATTGAACAACATCCATACAGAGACTTCTGTGATGTCTTGACAGGTTCAGAACCAGCATTTCCTAAACCAGAACCAGAACCACATGAGTCAGTCGCAGGTGCAGTCTAAGGACATGCCTCCACGTTTCAGTAAGAAAGGACAGCTCAATGCAGACGAGGTAACTAACCGTTTCTACAGGTTTCCAGTTTTCCTGCTGGTTGTCTTAATGCCCGGTGATTATAAAAAGACGCGTTATTCTGAGGAACAAAACCTGCTGCTAGTCTTTCCTCTGCTCTTTGCTCTGTCTACCACTTCTCCTCCTCTCTTTCCTCTTCCCTTTTTCTTCAAACTGGTGGCAGGTCCGCTGACTGCGATTATGAGATATGAGGGCATAACTAATCACTACCACAGGGTCCTCAGCGACTCTGGAAATCACCTTTTCTAGACAGGGAAAGCTCAGTAAATGAAGGAAAATAGAAAACAATTAGGGAAAACTTTGTATTTTTGAACACTGACGTACTGATTAAAAGATTATTCTGACATGTTGATCCTTTAGATTTAAAATGCTGGTTATCACTGAGTTTTCTGCAGCGTACATCAGAGGAGGGCCAAAACTCAAAACTTGGTCCAGGCCAGGGGCCAGGGTAATTGTTTACTGAAAAAATGTTACAACAAATTATTCTTACAGAAATACAAATTACTTTTTCCAAATTATGTTTTGTATAGCATTTACAACATGCATAACTTAGATTTAGAAAAAAACACATCATTAGCATTAATTACTTATGCCTTATTCTCTATCAATAACTTTTTGATTTATTATTTCTTAGAGATACATTTCACCACAAACCAGCAAATCAGTAAAAAAAACAACTAAAAGTCCAATTATTTGACTTTAGAATAAGAGAAAACAGAAAAAGCTCATGAATGTCAATTCTCTGTTACTCAAAGATGACTGAAAAATTCAAACTTAATTTTCTTGGCTTTAAAGTTGGCCAGAAGAATACAGTAAATACATGACAAAAAAAACAAAAACTAACATTTAAAATATTACCTTTGGGGACAGACATGTTATTGATGGCCATGTTTGGCCTGCAGGCCTTGAGTTTGACACGTGTTGTAAATAATCCATATATTCTTACTGATTGGTTATTGTGGTGTTTTATTTCTACAGTATAATTATTAACAATGATGGCTGTACGCACATGTAACAGGCTTCATTCAATCACTGCAACAGTAAATCTGAGTGTTCTGACTGAAACGTCTCCTAGAATTTCAGGGTTTACTCGGGGAAACCTCAGGGATGTTTAGTTTTCATGAACTGCAGGGGTTGCTGCAGTAAACGGGTTCAGAGCTTTGAAGAATAAGATTAAGTGCATGCTTTGTCCTGTGGCTCGCAGATCAGCCTGAGGCCTGCTCAGTCATTCCTTCTCAACAAGAACCAGGTGCCCAAGCTGCAGCCTCAGATTCCAACAATGATGCCTCCCAGTACCCAGCCCCCACGCACTCAAACCCCTCCTCTCGGACAGGTGGCGCATATTCAGCAATTCTAACTAATTAAAAATATCATATTTTAAAACAGTTGTATTGAAATCCCACAATGAAATACAAGGATTTTTAGCAAAATGATGAGATGATCTTTTGCTGTCAGCCTCCACAGCTTGGCCTGAAGACCAACCCTCCTCCCATCCAGGAGAAGCCTCAGAAAACAAGCAAGAAGCCGCCTCCTGCCAGGGAGGAGCTTCTGAAAACTCTGGTGAGCAAGCAGTGATGAGTGTGAGAGTTAACTGTGTGTTAAAATCATCCCAGCGCTCTCCCTCTCAGGTTACTAAAACTTAGACTGGAGTTATTAATCTTCCTGTTTTACGCTTGTTTGAATTTAAGCTGCTTTGAGCACAAGAAACTGCAAAATTCTTTGGTATCTTGACTTGAAACATGATAGTTTTGTTTAGTGAGCGGGGATGGATAAAGAGCACAAATGAGCGAGGGGAGGGGCCTTGTTGGTGGGCCTGTTGCTCTCCTCAAATCGACACTGAGCTTTAGTCAAACCTCGTGTTCCTCGGATGAAGGACACGAAGTTAGAAACACTCTGATCTTCAAAGCGTTCCCAGTAATATTGGGCCTCATGCAAGAACATGTTCATATTCTTATCCTAAATTTCTCTTACTTTTGTTCGTACAAAGGGTTCGTACGAACATGTCACGTCAGATTCAACAAACTCTTCTATCTTCAGGACAAGTGTGTAAATGAGGAGCATAAACTGATGAATGTGTACCTACTGTATGTGCTCGCACATGAGAGGAGATTAGCATAATTACCACCCCAAAAACACCATATAAGGCTATGTTTCC